AGCTGCACATCCTTCTAGTTGCTGCATGTGGGACTCGGCCTCAGGCTGGACAGAGAAGTGGTGCCTCGATGCGCACCCGGGATCCGAACCCGGGCCACCAGCATCGCAGCGCGCGCACTTAACCACCAAGCCACAGGGCCGGCCCTCAGACATTTTTAATTTGGTGTATTTGAATCCATCTGTTAATCTGGAAATCTTCTTACTGAAACATTGTCCACTTCTCTGTATTTCTTTTAGATTTTTTAAACATTTACATTTTCAAGTCACATAGAATTTATTATGTTGTATTGTGAGAGGTATGAATGTAAAGTTAATTTTCCTCCATATTATTATCTTATCCCTGAAACATGTAATAAATAGATGCAACATGTATTAAATTGTTGCTACTATTTGTCAAATATCTCACCTTTAAGTAATGTGGCTCTATATGGAATGATATTCTGTACTACTTAGATAATAACAATAATGAAGACATTATATGTAAAAGCGTACAGGATGCTGCCAAATGATAGCCTTAATGCTTGACTTGTTTAATGGGAAAAAATGAAAATAAACTAAAATAGTTAACTCAATCTAGAAAATATAAAACAAAGGAAAGCAAATGAAGGAATCATTAAAAATAAAAGCAATAATTGATAAATTAGAAATTAATAGATACAAGGTCTGGTTCTTGGAAAAGGTGAACGTGATTTTAGGAATGGACAATGGCATTTAAATAAAGATAACAAAAGCATTTTAAAACTGTATTACATGTAAAACTTTATGCTAATAGATTTTTTAATTTTTTAGAAAGAAAAGTCTAAAAAAAGATAAATTATGAAAGCTGACTTAAGAGATGAATAACTATGCAATAAATTGAAAAGTTTGTCAATGAACTAACCTCAAAAAAAAAATTGAAAAAAAAAAAAAGGTGTTGATCTCAGTCAGTTTTATGGGTAAGCTCTTTTAAACCTCCAAAGAACAGATAAATCTGTGTAAACTATTCTGGAACATAGCAAAAAAGAGAGTGTCACAGTTACCTTATGATGCTAGAGTAACTGATTAAAATCAAAACAAACAGAAACCACAAAAGCTGAAAACAGATGATTCAGAAGATAATTACAACCAATCTTAATATGAACACAGCTCTAAAAATCTGGAGTGAAATGTTAGTAAATCAAACCCAAAGACATATTTAAAGAATACTTATGCCATGATCAGGTAGGGTTGATTCCAGGAATGCCAGGTGTATTCATAATAGAAAATCCCAAAAGACGGAGAGGAATCCTTCCAGAGCACTGACAGTGTTTATCTCTAAAGGATGGGTTTGAGAGTGGTTTAAAGTTTTTACTTTGTGTTAATATACATTAATAATTTCCAAATTTTCTGCAATGAATGTGAATTGCATGTGTAATTAGGACAAAAAAAAACTGTATTGAGGTCATTTGATCATTCTTGTCTTGATACGTGCATTAGCATCAGGTAGGTGAGTTACCTTGTTATTACCCTGCTTCCTACTTTCAACTATTCATTGCAATGCTCTTTATTTATTATTTCCATATAATTGTACTATTTCTGAATCAAGCTTTATATAGTATTTTGCTAGAACTTTAATTGGTATTGCTTTAAATATTTAAATTAAAATGTAGATTATTGTCATGATCAATATGTTCAGCCAGGAAGTCACTGAATCTTAATGTTGTCAGATTATTCTTTTATTTCTCTCCTGAGGATTTTCTTTTTTGTTTTTACTTTGTTTTCTAAATCCCAAGTTAATTATTTCTGAAATAGTTAATGATTTCTGTTGGTTTTCTTAGTGGATCTCTTTTACTATAATTCCTAGCATCATGTGATTGATTTATTTTATCAGGAATGGGATTTTTTAGATTTTTATCAGATAACGTGTAATTTTGCTAATTTTATGTTTTAAATGCACAAAGTATTTAAACTGTTTTTCTTAGTTGCTAAACATTTTTAACCGTAAATTAACAGAAACTATATATTTTATTTTTTTTAGGGTAACAGTAGTAACAAGAATGAAGATGTCTTTTGTGATCCTGAAGATGAATGGGAACCTGACATTAGAGATGTGCCAGTTTCTTCATTTTCTAGAAGGAGGTAAAGATGTTTTTGTTACTGGTTTTCTTGTTGTGGGTATGCATATATATCATTTCCTTATTTTACAAGAACTATCTATTGTTGTGATGGATATGTCTGTGAAGGAAACCCAGTAAGAGAAGAGAAATAATATGTTACTGATCAAATTACAGCACTTATCAGTCAGTTAGAAGAGGAAAAAAAATGTCCAGTATTTTATCATATAAGTCTTAAGAGCAAGTTAGATTAGCATTAATCTAATTTCCCATAAGATGAACAGTGTTTATTACTTTTAAATTACCATTTCTCAAGAACTTGGCATATGTATGATATTTTATTGTGAGTTATAGAGTTTTAAATGCAGTCAAGTTAGTATGAACACCACAGATGAATAAATCATGGTGATAGAGGACTTCTATGTATGACAAATATTGCTTATTAACTAAAAACATAAAAGACTTCCTCAGTGAATAGATGCTTTTCAAGGAAATGTTTGTTCTGCTTAGACCTCAGATGCTTAGATTATGGAGAGGCAAAAATGGCATAATAGAAAGGCTTGGTCTGGGAACCCATTTAGCCCCTTAGTTTGGTTTTTAAACAAATCCTTCTTTTTAAATAACTATTTCTCAGTTTGGTTTTTAAATAAGACTACTGTCTGCCTTGTCCTGAGGATACAAAGATCAATAAAGAATGCTCTCTCTCCTCCGGGACTGGGAATTGAGGAAACTAGAGGCAGGAGTTGCTAATAAAGATGTGAACTAAGGCTGGGCAGAAGGACTGGAGACGAGAGTCAGGTTTATGCATATTCAAGAGGCAGAATCAACAGGACTTGGTGGCTGGTTGGGGGCTGAGCATGATGAAGGGCTCAAGGATGAATCCTGCTTTTAACTTGGGTGACTGACTAAAGGAAAATGGTGTTCCCTGAGATGGAGGGTAAGATGAGTTTATTTTTGAACTTGATGAGTTTAAAGTTCCCAGGGGGCCATCCAGGTGTATATTCAGGTCTAAAACTTTGAAGGAGGGATTTGGGAATTTTCAGGATGTAAAGGTCGATGGCATTCATCCAGCAGAAGTACCAGCATCATTAAGAACATTTATTGAATGCGTGCTAAGCATTATCTCATTTAGTATTGACCACAAAACTATGAAGTTGGTGCTGCTATTACCTACATTTTACAGTTGAAGTAACTGAGGACTTAAAGAGGTTAATGACTTGTCCAAAGTCCCAGAGGTGATAAGAGGAAGAGCTGGTACTCAAATTGATACCGAACCTCTTAATCTCAAGTTTGTGTGCCCGATGCACGATAAGGCCATCACTGAGACACTGGTGCTTGGAGATGGAGAAGGTTTATTCGAATCGGCCAAAATGAGAAGGCTGGAGGGCAGGTTCTCTCAAATGCACCTTCACAAGAGAAGAAAGCGAGGGGTCTTTATAGAGCTAAGGGGCTTGGCAGGAGGAGTTACAGAGAAGGAAAGGGGAAATCCATGTTTCTTTCACTCCAGATAAGCCCTTGGGCAATCAGACTTCTGGGCGTCAACACAGCTGGGGGCTGGTTATCTGGTGGTTGTAACTTCTTGAAGGCATTCTTCCTCTACAAAACAAGCTCATAAATCCTTGTGACCCTTGAGTCACCCTCAGGTTAAACAAGAAAATAGTAAATTAACAAAGTTAACTTCTTTTCATCCGTATCTGTGTTGGGAACAAGGTCTAAGGGTAATCCTGTTCTTATTGAATATTTACGGTAACCCTCAGGTACCCAGCTTCAAGATCCAGGTTTGAGTGACTCCAAAGATCCCGATTTTCTTGCCTGCTCTGCCGTGTTGCCTCTCGGTTGCATATGAAAGGGCAGTATCTTTCTGATTAAATAATTTTTTTTAACTTCATCGCCTTCAGCTGCAGCTCAGAATCCATTTGGGTTTCCAGACCTTTTTAGGCCTTTTTTTGTGTTGGATCATGCTTATTTTAAACTCATTTATAAAATCTCCTCAAGGAGATGCAACTACTTCATAGTGACCTTTCCCTCAGTGACTTTTGCTTTATTTACTACATTCTAACTGCTATGGTATGGTAAGAACTAGCCAAAATGTAACAAGCTCTACGTTTGTGTTATATGACATGTTATAGACATAACAGCTACAGCTTTCAGGCTGAAAGAAATACAAAGCATGTCCTGTGAACAGATTCTGAGCTCCTTGAGTGTAGAGAAGGCATCTGTATCCCCTGCAGTGGAGTATAGTAAAAAGTCATGGGTGCAGATCAGCGTCCTAAGTTCTAATCTGTGCTCAGGGTGGCCATGGGCAAGTGATGCTGTGTCTTAGGCTCTAGTTTTCTCATCTGTAGAATGAAGACATAAGAGGTCCTGTATAAACGCGGCTGTTTCTCCTGCTCCTACCATGACCACTGTGATCTGTAACATGGGACTGATGATGAGGATGATGATGTTGCAGAGTCGTTATGAGGGTTAGAAGTGACTATGTAGAGTCCTACTCTAGTGGATGGGTGTTCAGTAAATGCAGCTTTTATGATTAAGTGCAAATCTGTATTGAAGAAGATTGAATCTTGGACTACAGAGAGGATATTATTTCTGATCCATTACCAATAAACAGATGGTGATATTTTCAGGGATTTGTCTCAAGGCCTTCAAAGTAGAGTTGGACTCTGATACCAAAATGAGCTCAATGGTCCTGGGGTGGAATGGGGTGGAACTGGGTGGGATTGGGTGGAACGGGGTGGGGTGGATGGGGCTGAACTGGGTGGATAGGGCTTGGGATACTTAAGCCAACCTAGAGTGACATAAGCCTCCCAAAAATTCAAACCAGACCTGCAGATTGATCAGAGGCTGATTTATAAAGTCCTTTAGATTTTAGAATTACTGATTTCTTATTATTTTTATTATAAACAGATATAAACTTTGTGTACATAGAATTGTGGATCACAATATGAGCGTTAGTAATTAATGAACATTAAAATTTTAGCCTATTGAAAGTTGGTGATTTATATCTTATTTCCTGCTGACTTTTAGATGAATAATTAGAGAATCAATAGAAGTTTAAATTGTTACTGAAAGATCAAAACTTATTTTCTAAGATTTCGAAATTAGGTGTTTTCATTTGGCAGAGATGTTTTTGAGAACTTCTATAATTTAAAAGTATCATTTTTAAAAAAAAATGAATTGCTCTTGGTCAGAGACCTTGTATATGAAGTTTCAGCCTTGTGAGAATGTTTATGACAGAATTGCAAACTCTGAGAGTGCTCGCAGGTAATGGAAACCCTTGACAGATTCTTCATTACAGAACTGCTTCTGGGCAATGAGATGCCACAGCTGTTCTGCCATAAAGTAGACAGGTTTGGCTGCCTGTAAATTTTGATATGTACTGTTGCCAGCTAAAAGTAAAATTTCCCCTGATGTTAAGTAAAAATTCTTTGAAAGGAATGTGACAACCATTTTCTTTATTTGAGTTTAAGCATTGTTTAATACGAGAGTGTCGAGAGAGTAGGTTTTCCTGGTTTAGGCTTACAGTAATGGAGGTACCCGTTCCTTCCACTCCTAAGTACAAAACACTGTAACCTTTGAGAATTGATTTCCTCTCCCTATTACCAGTCATATTTCTGTGTTTTTCTTGTAGGAATTCAGGGGAAAATTTATATTTGAAACATTTAGGCTCCTATGGATAGAATGCTTCTGTTTAATAATCTTTTCAACAAATAGTGTTTTCCTTTGAGTGGCCAACAGCAGTGGAAAGTTCTGTTAAGAAAGACTTCTGAGGGTCCAGTAGATTTAGATCCAGGTCACAGCTCAAGTGGTTTCATTGACATTATGGGGGCTGGAGTTGGAGTTTAGAAAATTGATAGATGAATGGCAATGGAAGCAGGCTGCTGTTTCCAGAAGCAATTAGAAAGCAAGAGTAACAGCTAGACAGCCAGTCACACTCTGGGGAGAGATTTGAGTGTTCCTCTGGGCTGAGGGAGAAGAGGGAGCGAAAGGAGCAATGGAGACGGGATCCTTTCCTCCCCCGTGTTGCTGCTACACTTCACAGGGGCTGTGCTTTTCACACTGTGTAGCGAATGTTTACTTGAGTGGTTATTTACCTGGATCATTTCCCTGTTTAAAATCCTTCCCAGGATAATTTGCTCAGGACAGATCCGAGCTTCCTTAATTGGCATACAAGGTCAGCCCCCAGCTGGCCCCGCAGCGCCCAGCCCCATCCCTGGCTGCCCTCTCCGCCCTAGACGGCATCCTTCTGAGCCTCCTTTGGTTCTCTGCGTGTGAAGTACTTGCTTTTATCACCAGGTCTTCCCATGTGCCAGTGCCTGTGTCTGAAACACACTGTTCCCTGCTTCCTAAGCCTGCTCCCCCTTTGGCTAACTCCTACTCATCCTTCAGCCTCCTTACTCTAGGAGGCCCTCCCGCCTCCTTGGGCAGGGCGGGTTCTTCTCCAGAGTCTGCCACAGCGCTCTGCTCTCATCACACACATCACCTTATTGTAATTACTTCCCTAGTTTCTCTCTTGCTGTGGACCTCAAGCTCAGGGAGCCCAGAAACCATGGATGCTGTGTTTCACCACAGTATCCAGAGCCTATGAATTATAGTACTCTATAAATAATTGTTCTATTTAATTAACTATATGCTTAGAACAATACCTGTAAATAGTAAAATTCTTGCTCAATGAACCAAATTAATTTAACTAATGCTTGACGAAAATATTTCCATGGAAAACACACACATGTTCATTTTCTTTAGAGAATTAAACATAAATATTCCTAATAATTATTCCATGAAGTATATAGCTACTAATCTTTTTTTTTTTTTTTTTTTTT